TCGTGCCAACCATTGTGGAGGCGCTGACCAAACAGCACAAAATACAACACGACAAGACATGAGGCAGTAGGAACAGAACACAAGACACCCGTAGCCCCAATAAAACTGACCACCAGAAAAAAGAGAATTGGGAAATAGAAAAGAGAGCAAGAATGTTAGCAAGGGGAAAAAAAAGAAAGAATATGGGGAGAAAACACAAGAAAACAAATAAACCAAAAAGTACAAACAAAAAAACAGCCAGAAAAAAAAGGGGGGGGGGGGTGGAATCTGTAGATGCAAAGCTTAAATAGAGAAAATAAGGTTAAGGAATTGGATAAATAGGGGTAGGACCATGGTTTAGCATAGAGGAGGGAGAAAAGAAATGAAAAGACAAGAAGAAACAATTTAAAAAATTAAAAAAATTTTTTTGAAAAGAATAGAGGAGACAGCAGATAAGCCTAAATTTAGGTTGTGAAGCAGGTTAAGAAATTGGGAGAAGAAAAGAGAAAAAATAAAAAATTGAGTAGTGAAGAAAAAGAGAAGAGAAGGGGAAATGGAGTAGGAGCAGGAAAGAGGAAATTGGGTATATGAATAAACCAACAGAGACTTGAATAATATCCATAAAGCAGATAAAGAAGAGCTACTTTTTAAAAGGGGAAAAAAGAAAGGAAAGAGGAAAACTAAAATAGAGAAAGGAGAAAAAATGGGAGAAAAAGTAGAAGTGAGGAAGAAAAAGGCGCAAAAAAGTAAAAAAAATCAAAAATAAAATAAGATAAAATTAAATTAAAAATTTTTTAAAAATAAAAAAATGAAATGTCTGCTTCAGCTGAGTTTTAATGCCCCATAGGAGTTGGTTTAGGACTCCACTTATCTGTTCTTTCTGCTAATTCTGGGCTTCCTGTTAGGTACTGAGGTGCTGGCCACAGTTAGTCACTGTCTTTTGGCTTTTAGCACCCTGCTTGAAGCTCCAAGTGATCCACAGGTCCTCTGCTCATGTCTGTCTCTACAGGCCTTGGCTGCAGACATGCGGGGCCAGTCTGCCCTCTTTGCCTGTCTGCCAGCTGTCAGTCTTAATCACTCAAGCATCTGTTTCTGACAGAGCTTTAGGTGGGGTTGATGCTGTTTCACTTTCAGGGAATAAGATGGATATTTTATTCCTGACCCAGAGCTACTATTCTGCGAGTGGCCCAAAATATTACTCTGGCCTTGGTTGGTCAGAGATCCTTATATGGAGACCACTGGCAATCTGGAGTTTTTATCAGTCTGGTTCTAGAATAGTGGGGTAGATAACCTCTCTTCTAATGCAGTCACTGAGAGCTCTTGGGGCTATTCAGACCTATAAGCTTGGCCTCTACCTTTGTTTCCTCTGTAAAGCTCAGAATGCAGGGTATGGTAGGCTGTATTACCTGCCTTGGGGTTACTGGGCGGGGCTAAGTCTTCTCTGGAGAAATGGCCGCTTTGGTTCAGAATCTTAAGAATGTCCCACTGCAGGACTCCTGGTCACATCTCCCTGCCCTGCTTCCCTCCCCAGCCTCTTCTCAGGCACCTCAAGTCTGTGCCTCTCTCCTTGCGCTGAAGCCTGAAGCCTCGGGTGAGTGTTTGCAATGGAAAAGTCCCGTGTTCTGTGTTTAGAGAAAAAAAGCAAAGACAACACAACAACGAAACTGCATGTTTCTCTCTCCCCACCTCGGGCTGCCTTTCGGGCCACCTTTTGCAGTGCAGCCTTTTGAGGTTGTGGTCTTGGGTCCAGATTCCCCGGCAGACAGCAGCCCTGTGGCTTTTCCTTTTCACAGTTGGATGTTACACCTGTCTCCAAGGGATGTGGCTTTGGTGCAACACAGCTTCCTCCTCGCCCTCATGGCCAGCTGGCCAGCCTCCCCTCTTAAGCCCACGTTCCCATTCCTACCGCTCTCCAGGCATCCTCTGCCCTTCCTTGTTGTAAATTGTCTCCTCAGCTGTGTCTAATTTGTTAATGCCGGGTGGTTGTTCTCCGATTTAGTTGCATTTTTAGTCTGTCTCCAGGACGAGGTGCATGACACATCTGTCTATTCGGCTGCCGTTTTTTCATTCTCTGGTGGTGCTTTTTACAAAGTAGATTTCTAATGATGAAATTTATAGGAAAGTGCCATAGAGAAGAAAGGAGTGTTTCTGACAGTGGCCTCAAAATAACAGTTATATGTTGGGACATATAAAGGACTTGGGATTGTTAGACATTCCCACTACTTCAATGGTTTTAGTGCTCTGAACAATCTCATTTTCTGGATTAATAATTTTTTTTAAAGGCGGTGGCTTATGTATCAACAAGAAAATATATATTATTCTTCATCTATATTTACAGATAGTTCTAAAAAATTGCTGATTGAATGGTAATGTTTTCCTTTAAGTAGGGTCATTTGGCAGATTTTGAATAATTGTCCTACTTTTTAATCAATATGACACATTGGATTGTCCACTGGACCATCTACTTGCAGTTATTCTAAGCATAGGCCTAGAGAACCAAAGACCTTTTTAGTATTGTTTTTAATTGAGGAACTAGGTATTTTATGTGGAGAACTGGAAATTTGTTTTCATTTTTATCTTGTTACTTTCTAAGCTTTTAAAAATGTTTACCCACAATTTGGAGATAGTCTAAACAGGCATCATCCCATTCCTATTTATTTTTTCTGACTAAGTCGCCTATTTTATGTATAAAAAAAGAGACTTGATTTACTTCAGCTGTTAGTTCTACCCCATAATAACATTTATAGCTTACTGGAATCTAGTTTTAAACTCTCCTGTTGCTTAATCTTTATTATTTTTGCTATTTTGAATTTTCATCCAATTTATTCTTAAAGGAAAGGCTTCATAAATGTCTTTCTAGAGTGCATTTCCTATTCCTTTTTCCCATTCAAACACAGTTAAAAAAATTATGCACAGTTTAGTCATGTAAATCCCACCTTGGTCTATGCCTACTGTTATTTTAATATTTAAATGAGTCAGTTGGTCTAGATCGGGTGTAGAGTCAAACAAAATCTTGAATCCTAAAGCAAATTTCTGTTTTTCTGAGACTGAAGAAAACCCTCATTGTAGACCTCCGCTCAGATATAGACTATGTTTAATTCAGCTTCTGTGATCTGCCTTACATTCTAGCATGGGGATATTGTGAAATGTGGTTGTATATTTCCTGAGAGAAAAGTGAGAAAGGGCGACTTGTTAAAGAGGTCAAGGAAAGGAAAAGAAATAGAAAAGGTGAGAATGAGAATGAAGATAAAGTTGTGCAGAAAGAAAGAGGTTGAGTTACACAAATGTGAGGTGGCTACTGCTTGCTTCACTGACTTCACCCACAAATAATCTACAACTGGTAAAGGATAATAAAAACAGCCATCTGTTATATTTAAAATAGCTAATACATTTATGGACTGAGGTGTAGAATGAAATGCTGTGTATTGCACAGAAAAATGGACAGTTTCTGCTGTGAGGGAGTTACATTCCAGTTGAGGCAGTAGAGAGTAAGGGAACTAAGTGAATTGTGCACTTTTCTATGTACTGAACATGCTCCTAGACCAGGGGTGGGCAAACTTTTTGACTCGAGGGCCACAATGGGTTCTTAAACTGGACCGGAGGGCCGGAACAAAAGCATGGATGGAGTGTTTGTGTGAACTAATATAAATTCAAAGTAAACATCATTACATAAAAGGGTACAGTCTTTTTTTTTT